CCTACTTACTTACTTACCTACTTACCTACTTACTTACTTACCTACTTACTTACTTACTTACCTACTTACTTACTTACTTACGTACTTACTTACCTACTTACCTACTTACTTACTTACTTACCTACTTACTTACTTACCTACTTACTTACTTACTTACCTACTTACTTACCTACTTACCTACTTACTTACTTACCTACTTACTACTTACATTTCCTACTAACGTACTTACATACTTACTAACTTATTTTTCACTCCTGCTTCCTCCCACAGACCAAAAACATGACTGTCAGGTTAATTGATAACTCTAAATTGTCCCTAGGTGTGAGTGAGAGAGTGAATGGTTGTTTGTCTCGTTTGTCTCTATGTGTGGCCCTGTGATGGACTTGTGACCTGTCCAGGGTGTACCCCGCCCCTCATACTGTGACTGCTGGATATGGGCACCAGTGACCCCCGTGACTCTGAAAGGAAGAAGCGTGTACAGAAAATGGATGGATGGATGGATAATCTGAGCTACAAGTGGCCATCCTCCTGATTAAAATATTTATTGGCTGCAGGAAGTATTTAACGTCCACCTCTGAGAAGGAAGTCTGTGACCATTCTTCCTGCTGTGGCCTTTTAGTCAGTGAAGCTACAAGCCACTGATCGCTGCTTTCAGCATCTTTCAAGGAATATTTGTGCTCATCCCATAGTGGCCATTACAGTAATAAATAACACTGTGTAATCCAAACCAAGACAAATGGAAGTTTTATTACTGTTTATCTGTTGCCTTTCATGGAATGATGGAGACTTTAACCGCAAAATCACACACCTTTGGAGGAAGTCTGGTATTACTTCCTGTTTCTTTTATTGAGTTTTATTTAACCTTTATTTTCCTGTTGAGATTACAGATCATGATAGAAAAAACAGCTCCAGCATGTATAAATAGTGTTTAATTTGTTAATTCTTAAAGCTTTGTGTAAATGTTTCCTGTGTTCAGGCTTCTTGAAGAGCCGGGACCGCTCACACCAGAAGTTTTACTCTTTAATGACAAAGACCCAGATGTTTATCCGCTTCATTGAGGAGTGCTCATTTGTCAGCGACAAAGACACCAGCTTGGCCTTCTTCGATGACTGCGTAGACAAAGTGAGCCTCTAACTAACACTCTGACACACTTTTAATTTACCAATTTCTATTTTTTTTTATAAATTAGAGCAAAGTGTTTTAAAATGAACACAAACCTTTTAAGTTTTTTTAGCTTTCTTTATGAGTTATCCTGAATATTACTCGTGTTGCCAAGCTTGCATCTGCTTTTCTTTCTGCTTCTAAATTTTTGAGCTTTTCTTTTTCTTTCTTCTCCTGTCTCCTTTTGCAAGCAGCTGTATAATTCAGAACGGAGTGCAGAAAAAGGAGGCAAGGTAAGTCTTTCTTCTTTATCACCTAATCTGAACACACTTTCAGAGCTGAAAGTGCTGCGGCGCTGTGCAGGATCTGCAACGTAACGTAGCTGCATGAATCAAAAAAGTTTGATCAGAGATTTCACAAACATTTCTCTGGACCCAACAGAGGCACAGCTTTCACTTTAAACACACTATCCTGCCAATCAGAAAAAGGGAGGGGCGGGACTTGTCTGCATATCCATTCAGATCCAGCAGAAGTTGGAGCGGCTCTCAAACATAAACAAAAGTTTGAAAAAGAACTGGAGACAACATCGAAGCTGTCAGATTTTTAAAAACCAGATGTCAGAGAAGAAAAACCATCAGAAGGATGTTTTCTGACTCCTCCACCTGAGAGAGAGAGAAAAAAAGAGGCRTGTAGGTGGATGCTGAAGTTAGCAGATGTTAGCTGGAGAGTTTATAATAACTTAAAATCAACATACTGTACACTCACTGGCCACTTTATTAGGTCCACCTGTCCAACTGCTCATTAACATAAATGTTGAATCAGCCAATCACATGGCAGCAACTCAGTGCATTCAGACATGTAGACATGGCCAAGATGATCTGCTGCAGTTCAAACTGAGCATCAGAGTGAGGAAGAAATGTGATTTAAGTGACTTTGAAYGTGGCATGGTTGTTGGTGCCAGACAGGCTGATCTGAGTGTTTCACAAACTGCTGATCTCCTGGGATTTTCACCCACAACCATTTCTAGGGTTTACAGAGAATGGTCCGAAACAGAGAAAATATCCAGTGAGCTGCAGTTCTGTGGTTCAAATGTCTTGTTGATGCCAGAGGTCAGAGGAGAATGGGCAGACTGGTTGGAGCTGATAGAACAGCAACAGTAACTCAAATAACCACTCGTTACAACCGAGGTCTTCAGAAGAGCATCTCTGAACGCACAACACATCAAACCTCAAGGAGGATGGGCTACAGCAGCAGAAGACCACACCTGGTGCCACTCCTGTCAGCTAAGAACAGGAAACTGAGGCTACAATTCACACAGGCTCACCAAAACTGGACAATAGAAGATTGAAAAATGTTACCTGGTCTGATGAGTCTGGATTTCTGCTGCAACATTCGGATGGTAGGGTCAGAATTTGACATCATCAACATGAAAGCTTGGATCCATCCTGCCTTGTATCAACGGTTCAGGCTGGTGGTGGTGGTGCAATGGAGTGGGGGATATTTTCCTGACACTTTGGGCCCATTAKTACCAACTGAGCATCAAGTCAACGCCACAGCCTACCTGAGTAGGGCTGCCATAAACGATTATTTTTATAGTCGATTAATCACCGATTATTTTTTTCAATTAGTCGACTAATCGGATCATACGTTAATTTATTATAAAACATACAGCTTATCACACCAGAATGCAGTTGCTATTGTATAACCATCGTTAGATTTTAGCTATATGTTAACTAAAAATAATTGCCGTGGAAGGCAAGTTCTGCCTTGCAGATATTGTACAGGTTTCTCTTTCATATTCTTAAAATGATCTCACACTTTTCAGCTCCGTTGCCAGGTAGCCATAATACCAGAGCCTGTCTGTATAATGTCTTGTGAAGTCCACGGCCTACCCCAGTTACCACTACTGTGCATGTGTGTCAAGGACAGAAAGGCAGATGTGGCAGTGGAAGGTGTCAAAGCAGTTTGGAGAGAAAAACAAAGTCCAGAACCAAAACAAAACAACAAAAAAAAAAAGACTAATCGATTATTAAATTAGTCATCGACTATTTTAATAATTGATTAGTCGTTTACTAATCGTGGCAGCCCTATTGCTGACCATGTCCATCTCTTTATGACCACAGTGTACCATCTTCTTATGGCTACTTCCAGCAGGATAACGCTCCATGTCATAAAGCCTGAATCATCTCAGACTGGTTTCTTGTGAACACAATGAGTTCACTGTACTGGAATGGCTCCACAGTCACCAGATCTCAGTCCAGTAGAGACCTTTGGGATGTGGTGGAACAGGAGATTCATATCATGGATGTGCAGCCGACAAATCTGCAGTAACTGAGTGAAGCTATCATGTTGATACGGACCAGACTCTCTGAGGAGTGTTTCCAGTACCTTGTTGAATCTATGCCACAAAGGTGCAAGCTTTACCTGATAAAGTGGCCAGTGAGTGTATATGCAGACAGAAGATAGGAGTGTGAGGGTAAAACTCTGTGGGGTTGTAGAAAAAAGTTCATGCTCAGGATTAGTTTCCACTATCAGCCGTGCATTTTTCTTCCAGATGTTGAAATGACCGAATCATTTCGAGTGAAAATGCATCAGACAGGTAGTATTTGTCTTTAAGGCTTAGAGGAAGCTAAAACTTTGCACATCTGGTTTAGGCTTCAGRTTTGTTTTCACATCTCTTCCTGATCTCATAGTGTGAGCTTTCTCCACCTTTATTTAAAGCTGGCTCAGCTGTTCTGCTTTTCTGAATGTTTAATGTTCATTGGAATATTCACTGCATGTGTTAGATTTGCTGCCACAGCAGTTTGATCTGGGATAGTAAAACACACCACTTCACATAAAACCCAACTGTACCGCTTTCTGCAGAGATCCTCTGTTTTTTGTCCGTGTGGTGAGTAAGGGTTTTTAGAGGTTCAGTGATTTCTGATCCTAAAGGTTTTTGCAACAGAACAAAACCTTTTTGATGCTGTAGATGGAGTGTCTTTGCTTCGATGGCTGCATTTTGAGGAGTTAGACCTGTGTTTGAGCATGAAAAGGTTAAATTATTTGTAAAGTTCACACCAGCTCTGCTCTCCTCTTGCCATGGCTGTGGGTCACTGGTTTTTGTAGGGGACGTTTGTAACTCTGAACCTGACTCAGCTCTCTGTGTGCATGCTCCTATCTTCTGAGTGTAAGTGAGATATATCAGAGGTGAATCTGTTGCATCCTTTCTGTGTTTCCAACCTGCAGTGGGTGGGGCTTATACCACCGTTATTACCAGTACTAGAAAAAGTAAAAGGACATCAATCCTTAAAGGAAGGAGTTTTGTTAAAGCAGCAGATGTATCTAGAAGGATCACCAAACAGAACTAAATTAATCCTACTCTTTGAATTGTTTGTCTGGTAAAAACTAAAAAAGCTAAAAATATTATCATGAATGGACAAAGTGCAATTATTGCTGGATATTTAAATAGCCTGAATTTATCATAAACCACAACTTACTAGTGGTGTAGGATAAATTTAGGCTACTTTTTCATGTTTTTCAACCAATATACTTGGAAATATGCTTCAAATGATACATCTTTAACAGCACAAGAAATCATTGAAGAACTTAATCTGTGTTTAGAACTAAAATACTGTTTTTGCAGAATTCTTTCTGTAGGGGTCACCTCGAGTGAAGAAACAGGAATTACTGCCTCAAAGCAGGTCTCGCACAGGCCTGAGAGAAGGCAGGAACTGCTGAACTCTTATTTTAGGCCATGACGGGTCATTTCAACCTATACGAGGACTTCAGTTCTCTTAATCAGATATTAAACAGAAACAATCGGTTCTGTTCATGATTCATTGGTTGTTTAACTAAAATGTTTATGCATTTGTTAATCATAATAATGACATGTCACAAAGAATATAGAATCACTTCTATTATTCTATCGTGCCTAAAATAGAATGAATGAATCACAGAAATCACCATGTTTTCATTGTGTTTTTATAAATCACTGTTTTATTTTTWCTGAAACATCAGTAATATAATTTTGAGTTTTCTTAAGAAAATCTTACATTTATATGGACACAAGTTCAGATGATTATTTAAGCAGAAGGTTTAATTAATCATGATAAATGTTTACAGTGATTTCTTACAGGCTAAAAGGAGCAGAGAAGATATTATAATGTCTGTTTAAACAGCAGAGCAAGTGACCTTCACTTACTCTGCTGTTTAAACAGACATTATAATATCTTCTCTGCTCCTTTTAGCCTGTAAGAAATCACTGTAAACATTTATCATGATTAATTAAACCTTCTGCTTAAATAATCATCTGAACTTGTGTCCATATAAATGTAAGATTTTCTTAAGAAAACTCAAAATTATATTACTGATGTTTCAGAAAAAATAAAACAGTGATTTATAAAAACACAATGAAAACATGGTGATTTCTGTGATTCATTCATTCTATTTTAGGCACGATAGAATAATAGAAGTGATTCTATATTCTTTGTGACATGTCATTATTATGATTAACAAATGCATAAACATTTTAGTTAAACAACCAATGAATCATGAACAGAACAGATTGCTTCTGTTTAATATCTGATTAAGAGAACTGAAGTCCTCGTATAGGTTGAAATGACCCGTCATGGCCTAAAATAAGAGTTCAGCAGTTCCTGCCTTCTCTCAGGCCTGTGCGAGACCTGCTTTGAGGCAGTAATTCCTGTTTCTTCACTCGAGGTGACCCCTACATTTCCAAATGATAAGCTGAAAGAAAATGGCATTATGATTATTTCAGTTTCCACAGTACTCTGGATTGTTCGAAAAAAAAAAAGCAATTTTTTGTATCATACAGTTTATTGTGACATGAAGGAACATTTGTGGAATATCTAAGTCAATCTGGCTTCATGTCAGATTCTGTAACTGTTCATTTCATCAACATAAAAATGATGGATGGATGGATGGAGGGTCTCCGCCTCCATTTGTTGTTTAAAATTGAAACTGGCAGGATCTGGTTTATAGAGCCAGAGTCTGAGCCGCTGGGCTGTGAGGCTGTGAGCTCTGCCTATTACCTCACACCCTACAAGGATGTGTATTAAGCAGAAAAACCTAATTACAACTAAACATGTTGGTAAAATTAATGTTTGAACATATAGCTGCAAGAGATAACACTTGGAAAAAGTAATCTGAGGTGTATTTTTATTTTTTATTCAGGTAAATRTCTGATTTGATGACATGAACCTGAGCTGTAACTGCAGCCTGCCTACAGGGGAAACTCATACCAGGTTAAATTCAAAGAGGGGATAAAAGGTTGTGTATAGTCAAAGCATCC